GGCGGGCGGGCAGCCCGCTTCAGGAGGCGTCTCATCGCCAGCCTGGACTGAGACATCAAGGACTTGGGATGAGCTGCGTAAGGAGAGGGAGGAAAAAAAGGAGATGGTCCCCTTCAAGATGCACAACCCCGCTCCCCTCCAACCCGGGCATCACCCTAAGGCGGAGGGACAGCGAGAAAGCAAACCCAAAACTCTTTGCTAGGGCTGGTTACGCAGCGTGAATCAGCCGCAAGCTTTGCAGCGGGTGTTTGCGGGAGCCGGGCCCACAGAGATGAAATCTTCCACCATCATATGGAAATGAGTGCACTTTTCCCCGACATAGGGGGTACAGGAGAGCCAAAGTTGAGCAGCAGAAAGGAGAGGAATGGCAAAAAGCAGCTTTTAACCCAACAGGTTTATATATAAAGGGGCAAAACCAGGCTGTGGCGACCCCCAGCCAGCACCGGCTGCGGCGAGGACCCTCATTGAAAGCAGCTTCTTCAGCAAACGTCTAGAACTATTGACGAAAAGCAGACGCTGCGGTGAGTCCAAGAGGGAAGACAACCACGAAAACGTACGCCGTGGCTGCACCGAGTCACACCCCAGGCCCAAAACAAGGTAGCCTGCCTCCAGCCGCAGCCAGCAGTGGAAACTGGGGATATTTGGTGGATATTTATTAGAAACAAGCCCTCCCGTGATGCTCTCCCCCAAATCCCAGCAATTTGTTTCAGGGGTTTCCTGCAGTAGCGTGTGTATCCAAGCCATCGGATTGAATCACCGGTGGTGGACCTGTTCTCCTTAACCTTGCGATGTCCTTCTCTTGCTGTCTGCAGTATTGGAGACTTTTTTTTTGGCCTGAACACAGCAATCGTTAGGGGAGAGGGAGGAATAAGAGTTCAAACAGTGGAAATACTCAAGAGTTTAAGACTGGAGAGACCCATGCACTCCAGTGATGCTGCAGAGGGAGTCGAAGCTTGTAGGAAAGCCGGGATAAGGCTGTTGGGAAGCAGAAGTAAAGGGAAGGGGAATCAGAAGCAACTGGCACCCAAACGAGCAAAATTAGCGCTCGTTTCCAGCCCTGGGACCCCCACAGATTACCTCTCGCCTGAAGCAGCAGCTCCAGGCCCTCGCTGCGGGGTGCCATCTCGTCTGCCGTGACATTGGGCAGGTACACGTTGGCTCCAAAGTCAATGAGCAGCTCGACGAACTCTCTCCTGCAGCCGTGCCTCAGGCAGGTTTCCAGCAGAGTCTTGGGCTCCTTGATCTGGGCGATGACCCTCTCCTCGGTGCAGTTGTAGTCAGGATCGGCGCCGTAAAGCAACAGCATCTTAAAGCACTCGAGGTGCCCGTACGCAGCGGCGAGGTAGAGGGGACCGGAACAAGCCACCGAGTTGGCAGCCCACTCGGGCAGCCGCGCTTGAACGTTGGTTTCGGCACCGTGGTCCAGGAGCTGCTGCAGGATGTCCATGTTCCCATCCCGCGCGGCGATGAGCAGCGGCGAGCAGTTGTTGTAGATGCTGCCGGCCGGGCAGGCCCCCGCGGCCAGGAGGACCTTCACGCACTCCCGGTGGCCGTTGCTGACCGCCATGAAGAGCGGGGTTTGAGCCTTCACGTCCAGGCTGTCCACCTCCGCCCCATGGGCCAAGAGGACCTTCATGCTCCTGACGCGGCCCCACACGGCGGCCAGGCGCAGTGGGGTGCTGGGTACGCCCCAGCCGCTCCTGCGGTTGATGAACCTCTTGTACCTGTCTTGGGACAAGAGGTTATCTAGGGTTTGGTAGTCGTCCTCGGATACCGCTCGGTTCAGCTCCTCGCTTTCTCCGTTGTCTTCTTCATCTTCTCTGGGCTGGAGCATGGAAAACATTTTAGTGATATCCATTAAACTCATTTTGTTTTGGTCTGTCTCCCACGTACCGCTTTCATGGTAAAAGGCAAAGCCAAAGATCTACGGGACAACAAAAAACAGCACCACCACTGCGTTAGGACGAGTGACACCAACGCCATCTTTTTATTCCTGGTTTTTTATATACAATTGAAGGAAGGGTCTCAAAAAAAAAAAAAGACAAATAACATTGGATTGTGATGCTGCTGACACGCTCATGCCACCGCGGGTGAGGAAATCCAGGCTGGTGAAGGGCTAAGGCAAAGGCAAAGATCACAACGTTTAAAGGGGAGGTGGCCCACGCACGTGCAAGAATGTGCTGAGATAACGGAACCTGGTGTTGGAGCTCAAACGCTGCACGGGGGAAGTTCACAGGCTTTTACTTAATTGTTTAAAAATTATTTAACAGTGTACTGGTAGCCCTTGAAGCCGTAAAGGGTGTGAAGCTGCTGATGGGTTACTCAGACCTTGAGATCAGGGAGGCTCCTGGGTGGCCACAGGCTCTTGGAAGGACTCTGCCCCTCACCGCTGGACGAAGCCACCCATTGCCCCAAAACCCTCAGAAATCACCCCAACCAACTGTTCTCGAGGGGAGCTGCTGAGTGAAGAACACACTGGGAAAGAGCAGGAATCAACTCTGCTTCGTATCAGCCGAAGCTCGTGCTGGAAGCCTCACCAGCACCTGCCCTTCCAGGTATTTTGGGGCACAGGGAAAACTGGGGAGGGGGGAGTTTTCATTTAGGAATTAGGCAGCATCGCGAGGTTTTTACACCTTGTCCCTCTTTACAGGGATTGGATTTCAGGAGATGAAGGGAAAGCGGCCGGTTCGATTGAGGACTTTCAGCATCGCCCTTCCTCAAACGACGCCAGTGTCCGCATTCGGCAAACCCTCGCCCTCCCTCCTGCCTACTCAAGCCCGAGGAACGTGGCTGCGAGAAGGGTCGGGGATGTTTATAGCGGGGGGCACGGGGTGGCGGGAGGAAGG